CATCCAACTATAACCATGCATGTTGCGAAGCATAGTATAACCGAGTCACGGGCTCGCGACTTCCGTATGATATTGCAATAAAGAATGACCAATTGTACAAGTTTATAGTCTACTTACATAGTCAAATGTCTAATGGTGATATTGCATAAAGCAGAAGTTGGCAGGTGGATCTGTGACATGCTATTTCCCCGAAATACGTAGCACGAATGAAGAACGTAACATGAACTCTCGAATTTTAGCATATTTGAATATTCCCTGTGGAACGGAAGCTGATATGGCTTATAGGATTAGTGTCACACCAAGAATTCCCGCGCTCAAACTCCTGCTAGGGGCGGCTATGATCTGCAAGGTTTTTACAACTATCCATCATATGTTTAATAAAACCATCCCTTTATATTCCTCGCTCCAGTTTTGTCAGATTTTTGTCAGAAATGTACCAAACAAGGTATTTTTATCGCTATTTGTTGTATTTGAGTAAAATGTAAACAACACCAAAGCCCGCGGTGCATGACCTCTAGTCGCTTTTGCTAGATAGTATACTTCAAAATTAGGTTTCCGTTTTTATATCAATTTTTAAAATAAGTTAGGGTTAGGTCAGGGTTAGGTTAGGTTTAGGTTAGGCACGCCAAGAAGTTGAATGTAGTTCTACTTTCATTGCGTGTCCGCGAGCACTCAGACGGACAAATTCATATTGACTGTTCATATCTTCGGTTCAGTAAATGCTATGTAGATTAAATTTTAGTCAATGTTAACATGATAGCGATTTATTAGCTCTTTTATGATTTATGATTTTTGAGCTTTTTTTTCTTTTTTTTGAGCTTTTTTTGAGCCTTTTGCTTTTCTTTTTTCCCCCACAATCAATTGACGTTATCAGACGTGTCGAAAGGGTTCAGCGTCGTGTGACTAAAGTCATCCTAAACCTACCTATTAAAACTGATATAACGTATAAACAACGTTTGAACTCACTCCATCTACTTCCCGCTCCTACTGGCATGAATTCCTTGATCTGGTATTTTTCTTCAAAATTGTTCACAATATTACGACCATGAACTCTGAAGTCAAGCCAAATCAACATATTTCCACAAGATCAACCCGAAACACTTCCGACCCTAGTCTACTCTACTTTCACCCTAAAAGATGTAAAACCATAACTTTTCAGCGATCATTCTTCTCACGCAAATACAAAGTTAGGAACAACCTACCTGGCGAAATGAGCCGCATGGATACATCTTTATTACGCTTTAGAAGCTTGCTAAAAGAACATTATTTGACGGCATCTCAAACGATTTTCGAATCGGATGATCCAAGGACATGGAAATCTGCGCGTCCGAAATGCAATTCAGCACGCATACTTAGGATCTCCACGTCATGTTGTAGTTAGTGCATGTATTCTCTCACTTATCGGGACCACAGTAATTGTCTTCACACGCTGTATTCATTGACTGGTTGTTTTCTGTCTTATATATATGTCTATGTATATCTATGTCTATGTATATATATATATATATATGTCTATATATGTCTATGTATATATATATATATATATATATATATATATATATATATATATATATATATATATATATATATATATATATATATATATATATATATATATATATGTATTATATATATATAAATACAAATAGTAAATAATATCATAAATATATAAATATAAATATATATATTATTTCTACCTCAAAATTCCGCAACAGTCTGTTTCATCAGTAAAGAATCATCAGGCGGTATGACAAGTTTCGAAAAATAGGACTGCTTATATGTGTTTTGGCCGGAACGTGGGGGTGTGTGGGTGAAACAAAGCATGCATTCATCTATTGTTTGCGTTGTTTACGCGGAAATGCCTAATCGAATTGTGGGAGTGTATTGTTTGCGTTGTTTACGCGAAATTTCTTCCTATGTCTGCACGTAGATATAATTTCCATTCTTTTATTGAGTAAACGATTTTGGTTTTCTTTCAAAATACAAAATTTTTCCTCTAAACATAAATTACATCGTTTTGATCCTCCCGTATACGAAATAGCGCGTTCCAAAATTTGCCAATTGATATTAAAATCTTTCTTGCTATCTTTCAATGTCCAAATATATTTCGAAAGTTCAGTTTTGTTTGAGTGCTCTTTATGCTCGAAAGTATAGTTATGATTAGCCAAACGCTCTTTAATTGTAGTTGATGTCATGCCAATATAATTCATTATCGTGTTAGGGTTGCTTGTTGTGACTGTTGCTTTGTATACTATGTCCTTGGTCATGCATTGTTTCTGAAGTGGGCATATTGTGTTTTTCGAACAACTGCAATTGACAGTGCCCTTGCCCTGTGCCTTGTTCTTCCTAGCTATATGTGCATTGTGCTTAGTGATTATAGACTTAACATTGCTCATGCAGCTATAACTTACTTTTACTGTATTTCTGTTAAAGATCTTATGCAGCTTGTGGTGCGAAGGAAAGTGCTTGTCGATAAGGTTAAGAAAATTACGCCCTATATTAGTGCTGACATTCATGCTAAATGGTGGGTTGAACCAAATGATATTACGTTGCCTATTTCTGCGTGCTTGCTGTGGTCCGTGTTGAGTGTAGTTAAGATCATGATTAAAGTTGCTATGGTCAAGTGCGTTTTGGTATGCAGGTGCAGATTCCATAAATGTTTGCTCATCTGATGAAAGCATTGCGATGCGCTCTTTAACTGATGTAGGAAGCTGCCTTATAATGCTAGGTGGATGGTTAGAGTACCTATTTATGTATAGCGGATCGTCATTGGGCTTTCTATTGGGCCTATATTTTCCGTTGTTAAGATTGAAAATTACATCTAAAAGTTTACTATGCGTAAATTTGATTCGGCGGTGATCTTTAGGTCAAACAGCTCGAAAATTTTGTGGATTTCTTTCCTTGTTTTGTCTGCTAAACGTGCCGATTTACTTTTTATAAGGGCCAAACCGTCGTCTCTATATAGGCCGATGCTTTCTTTGCCAAACTTCTTACTTAGGTGATTTAGGATGAAAAGGCCAACTAATTCACATATTTCGGCGCCATCGTGGCTGCCCTTGGTAACGTCAAACAAACCTTCACTATCTTTTTAGTTCATGGTTTTCCGGTGTTGAAAAGCAGAGATTTTCTGGCGTGTTTTATGATCAAAGTATCATAATCCGAAACGGTAGTTAAATTAGAAGCCCAAGATAATGCTTGGTCCAAAAGCTTTTCCGAAATGGGTGGGTAAAAATCAACGATATCAAACGAAATAAAACTGTCTTTCTTTGTCTTTTATATTTCCAAACCATTCAATTACTTGTTTTGTATTTCTCCACTGGTTCAAATTCAGTTTTTGTCTCAAATTGGAGTTAATTTCATCTAAAATAATTTTGCTCAATTTTCCTGATTCGCTTTTAGCGGGATTAATTAGCCGACATTTTGGATTGTTCTCGAAATTTTCTTTGTGGTCTTTTAAAGATATAAATGCTTCACGTTTTTTCATTTTTTCAATTCTGTCGCCGATCCCTAAATTGTTCGAAATGTCTTTTAATTCAGAGTCAAGTTCGTCTATAGTGTCCTCAGATCCATGTTCCGGCCAAAACACATATAAGCAGTCCTATTTTTCGAAACTTGTCATACCGCCTGATGATTCTTTACTGATGAAACAGACTGTTGCGGAATTTTGAGGTAAGCGAAATTCTACATTTGCTCTATCTTTATGATATTGAGCACTCTTTGCGTTTCGTATACACAAACCTACTCGTATATATATATATATATATATATATATATATATTTTTCGACCACCCCCTTTCGCATCATATTACGACACAATTTTTCTAATATAAATATCTTGGCGAGTACTTACCCCCCCCCCCCTTTTAATAAAAGCCACCATTGTAATCCTCACAAAATAACCTTTCGAACGGGGGGTCATGTGCCGTCAGAAAATTAAACAAACCGAACTCAGGCAATCATATATTTACTCGCCGCTTGGCCAAAGATTCTAAATTTCATATCCACAAGATCTTCAATATGTCTTGAACTTTTCGACATTTGCGGAACGGCTATATGTGTAAAATACACTTTGTATTCAAGTGCTTTCGTATACAAAATTTCGTTTGTTATTTCTTTTAACCCACGTTTTATTTTGGTGGAATAGTAAGGATTTGCGTGCGTGTTTGATGACAGCTACATGATCATCAGAGATTGATGTACTGTAATGGTTTTAGCCCAGCTAATAACTTTATCCAGGAGCTTTTCGGTGATTGAAGGATAAAAATCAACAATGTCAAATGACAGAAACATGTGGGTAGGTTTATTATTAACAGATTTGAACCAATCGATGACAGAATAGGAATTTTTCCATTGATTCACGTTGATGGAAGATTTAATGCGATTGTTAATATTGTCAAGAATGACTTTGCCGACTTTTCCCAGCTCACTCTTTGCAGGATTAATGAGACGAAATTTGGGGTTGTTTTGAAAGTTTTCTTTGTGATCCTTCAGTGTTACATAAGCGACAACTCTAGACAACTCTAGCTTAACGACAACTCTAGCTTAATCAAAACAGTTGAAATGCTTACAAAACAACTTCTAAATTTGAATACGGTTGATGCAAATATTGATCCCAGTTCTCAAGTATCGAAGGAACGCGCTCCTAAAGTGTCGAAAAAAACAGAAAAAGAGCAAGAAGAAGAAAATGAAGGCCAAGGAGGACTTTGAATCGGCAGAAAAAAATATTTCTCCGCCTCGTCAAGCACATGCTGCCCCCACTAGCGGTATGGAAAATGTGAATGACGATGTTGCAGCTACCACGAGCAAGAATAGAGCAAAAGAAGTGGTGGTAATTGCTGGTGATTCACTAATTAAGAATGTTGTCGTAGCAAGCATGAGCAAGACTGACCCTAATCACTATTACGTCGTTAAAGCATTCCCTGGTGCAAATCTTTCTGATAAGGAAGATTTCATTAAACCTATCACCCGAAAATCACCCGAAAAAATCATCTTACATGTTGGAACGAACGACTTAAAGAATTCTCCTGCAAAAGTAATTGCCGATTCATTACTGAATCTGACGACCCAGATAAAGGAAGATTCGCCAACTACTGTGGTAGGTATATCAGCTTTGTTGACCAGAAATGATAATGCAAACCTAGCCACTAAAGTTAAACAAGTTAACTTTATCCTAGATAATTATTGTCGTATGAATAAGAACCATTCTTAAGAAATGATAATGTGAACAATTCTCACTTGAACAATAAAGGTCTACATTTAAATAAACAAGGCAGCGAAACTCTACAAAACAATTTTATTGAATTTACTAACAATTTTAATGAATGACTTATTACGTATATAATGTTGCTGAGTCTCTTGATAATGCGAATGCTGTCAATTCTAATACTAATAGCGACATAAATCCGCTTTTACCTAAGATGAGTGGTTTCAAAATTGCATCACTTAATATAACCAGTTTAGTAAAACACATTGAGGAACTTCGAATTTTTCTAGCCGATAATATTATTGATGTTTTAGTCTAGGACCTGTATATGAGTTTGTATGCATTTCATTTAGGACAGATAATCTCAACTGTTTTAGGGCAAGTTGACCATGACGGTCAACATGGTAACGCTGCCCGAACCCCAATCCGGGACGAAACGTCCGAAACTGACCACACCCAAAAACGACGCTTTCGCCATACTGCTATCTACCAAACCATAAAAGCTTTGGCTATTCTGAGGTGCTTACATGGTTCAGAGATGGTACTATTGGGGTGGTCATTGGTAAGTGTGAAATGCCTAGCACTAATATTTCACATGAAAATGGCCATGCAATAATCATAGTTAAACGACAATTTGTGGCTTGCAAATTCAGATAAACAGCAGTGGACTTACATTACCTTTTTCCCTAAATCTTTTTGATAAAAAACATAAATGGTACTTATTTAAATATATTATCACTGGTTTGATGTAAAATAGTTAATATTTCTGACCGAAATAATAATTTGAAATGTGCCTACCTCCTGCAAATGGACGTATTTGGCCAAGTTCTACACTTTACTCCGCTGTTTATCGGCGATCTCGTCGATATCCTACAAAAAATGTAAATCATCTCAGACATAATGGTATCAAGAACATTTTAAACAAGTTCCAACTTGGTTTCAAGTAGATCATACCTGTTTAACCATCGACAAGGTAAATCCACAACTTTGTCCAAATTCGGCGCCATTTTGTCATCCCATGTCGCTTGATAACAATTCGGCCTTGTTACTCTTCCATCCAAGCCATTTCCATTCCACTAATAATAAATTTAACCCTTTATAACAGGAGGAAACTAAAAAATCTAAACAAAACATTAGAAATTCGCCATTTTATCACCCTGTAAAATTTCGCTCACGAGTCTTTCAAAACGTTCCGTACAAATATCGCGTGACAAAGTAACAGGGACGTGACAGGAGGGGGTGAATTATTTCACGAAGATAGAAGAAGGCTGCGTGAAATAGACTAAAAGTTAAATACAATCATACAAATGTTTGTTTTATTTCTTGTAGTGACAAATATATACATTTATTATTTATTAATATGAAAAAGTCATGCAAATTAAATGTTGATTGTTGGTTTTACCATACTGTATGGGCTTTCATTTTTCAAGTCTCTACCCCCCCTGCAAGTCCCTGTTGCTAAACCACGCGAGATTTGTATGGAATGTTTTGAAAGACTCGTGAGCGAAATTTTACAGGGTGATAAAATGGCGAATTTCTAATGTTTTGTTTAGATTTTTTAGTTTACTCCTGTTATAAAGGGTTAAATTTATTATTAGTGGAATGGAAATGGCTTGGATGGAAGAGTAACAATGCTGAATTGTTAACAAGCGACATGGGATGAAAAAATGGCGCCGAATTTGGACAAAGTTGTTGATTTACCTTGTCGATGGTTAAACAGGTATGATCTACTTGAAACCAAGTTGAAACTTGTTTAAAATGTTCTTGATACCATTATGTCTGAGATGATTTACATTTTTTGTAGGATATCGACGAGATCGCCGATAAACAGCGTTGTAAAGTGGAGAACTTGGCCAAATACGTCCATTTGCAGGAGGTAGGCACATTTCAAATTATTATTTCGGTCAGAAAATATTAACTATTTTACACCAAACCAGTGATAATATATTTAAATAAGTACCATTTATGTTTCTATAAAAAAGATTTAGGGAAAAAGGTAATGTAAGTCCACTGCTGTTTATCTGAATTTGCAAGCCACAAATTGACGTTTAACTATGATTATTGCATGGCCATTTTCATGTGAATTATTAGTGCTAGGCATTTCACACTTACTAATGACCACCCCCAATAGTACCATCTCTGAACCATGTAAGCACCTCAGAATAGCCAAAGCTTTTATGGTTTGGTAGATAGCAGTATGGCGAAAGTGTCGTTTTTGGGTGTGGTCAGTTTCGGACGTTTCGTCCCGGATTGGGGTTCGGGCAGCGTTACCATGTTGACCGTCATGGTCAACTTGCCCTAAAACAGTTGAGATTATCTGTCCTAAATGAAATGCATACAAACTCATATACAGGTCCTAGACTATGTAGCACGCCTGAGCCAGGCGAACTTATTAATTTAGCCGTGCTTAATATTAAGTGCAGTGCTTAATTGATTTAGACGCCGTGCTTCTCATGTGCTTAATTCATTGCATTAAGTTCGGCTCATGAAAAGCACGGCGTCTAAACCGGGCCTAAGTTAGTGCAAAACCTGTATTATAAATTAGCCTACTTCTACCAAATCATCGTGCTTGCTTGACTAAATATATGCGGATACAAGAATTAGGCAAAATAGACGAGCTGGCATTGTGTGCGTTTGTTGCATTTTAAAAGTTCTACCGCACGTCAATTCACGGAAAATGACACAATTTATTGCTGCCGGCAGGCAGGGAGCGAGGAAGCAAAGTATTATCACATGACATGTCATAATTTTTGGACTTGTTATCATAAATCATACACATGCTTAACTTTTCAATTATAAATATATTACATAGTTGGCCTGTTGCAGAAATAAACTCGTGCCAGGCAGTATTGCAGACAGTGATACACGGGAAACATGTTTGCAACACCGCAATAGAATTTGTGAAATTTTAAAATAAATTATAACATGATAACAAATTAATAAAAACAAGACGCTTGCTAAGGCGTTCACACTGGCCTGAAAATAACGACATACGTGCTATCACAATAGACAAGGAATACAGGTGTCTCAAAAAAACCGCTACCCTTGGAAATTCACCATTGTTCTAATTTGAATGCCTGAGTGCTATATTCTTGAACTCATGGGTGCATGAACAATTTGAATGGAATTTTATGCTTAATTTAAGACAATAAATACTCTTTGCTCTGTGCTCAGTTGAGCCATTTGCTTGACATTCACTAATATGTAATTGAACGATTTTCGTGCAGTTATACTTTTGTATGAACCTATTTTCAATTCCCAGGATAAAAAATTTCGCTTTTCAAGGATATTTTAATTCCGAAGATCTTTAATATATGCATCCTGTGAAAATGTTTACGCATTCATGGCTTCAACAAGGTTCAGGCATTCAAATTAGAACAATGGTGAATTTCTAAGGGTAGCGGGTTTTTTGAGACACCCTGTACAAATCGTGAACCGCAAACGCAAAGCGTGAAAGGTTGTATTTAAAGCGTAGGTGGGATACCGTAATGTCCAATGAAACACAAGTATTACTCACAAATACAAACGTTATCCATAAATGCACATGGTCTCTGAGCATGCGATGCGCTAACGCAAACAACATTGTTTACATTCCGTGAGTCTGTAACGTATAAAATTCGATATTACTCCCCCTCGAAAGCCAGGAAACTCAGCGATCCAGATATCGCATTTCCAGAGGCAGAGACGTTGCACGAAAAAAACCCACCAAGTCAACTTCCAAGAAAGTGCAGAGTAGGATAAATACAAAATCCACAGAAAAACGCGATAAAATTCGTTGACAAATGAAGAAGCCAGAAACGCGCAAGTCGGAACAGATCTTAAATCCTCGCCTTGTACCTGTCTGTTCTGACAGACTTGCAACGGCCTGTCAACAGGTCTGTTACAAGCTGTTGTGACAGAGCTGCTGCAATGCTGTTTTCAACAGGTCTGTTACAAGCTGTTGTGACAGAGCTGCTACAATGCTGTTGAAAACAGGTCTGTTAAAAGCTGTTGTGACAGAGCTGCAGCAATGCTGTTTTCAACAGGCCTGTCGCAAGTTGTTGACACAGAGCTGCAGCAATGCTGTTTTCAACAACTTGCGACAGACCTGTTGCAAACCGAGGAAAGCGCCTTATGAAGCTTGTGTATCCACTATTTTGAATAAAAAACGGCCAAACAGGTTGCCATATTTCGGTTGTAGTGTTTCGTGAAATAGAAGTTTGAAATATAAAGTTTTATAAACAAACTTGCGAGATAATTTTTGAGCAAAACAGCCGAAAAAATACGACAAATTCAAGAAAGGTTCTTATCGTAAACAATTTTCAAAATTAATTGTCTTTAAGTACGACCGAAATATGACAACCTACTTGCATATTTTTCTTCAAAACAGTACATACCATAAACACAAAGCTTCAATAAGGCGTCTTCCTCGCTCGCAGATTTCACTTGAAATTGGAAAGAAATTATATAACGAATTTCATGTTCATATCAGCAATGACGAACGTTGCAGTGAACACTCGGTTGTTCATGTATTGTTCATTTCTTAAGCTCTAGATCTTGTAATCTCATTGCTACAGTTTCTTCAAAAATCAAAAAAGCTTTGAACTTGTTTGATTTTGTTTGAGGCAGTTGTTGTCTTGTTGAAATTTTGTTTGGCTCAAAATTCAAAAACAACTAAACATGATTACGCAGGGCTGCCACTCTCCGTTCCCTATTTTCACCTATGGCGGGCACTGAAATCCCCTACGTTTCCCCTACAGCACGATATGCAATTGTCCCCAATGTTCCCCTACGTTCCCCTACAAATATTGTATTTTCCCTACTAATATTGTATATTTGTAGGGAAAATACACTGGGCTGTATAATAACTGGAGGACCTGCTCTTATACTTACTACACAATAGAGAGTTAAGCTTCACGTTCAACGACGAACGTCAGGCAAAGAAAAATTCTACGATAAAAAGTAAATGGGCTTGTTGTTTCATATGAAGGAAAATATGACACGCAGAAATCGAACGACTTTATGCCAAGAAAAGTCGGCCTTGCCGTTTGGCGCTCCCGCAAACGTGAAGCTCAAACTCTCTATTACTCTAAAACCCGAGCAAAATTGCAAAAACCTAAAGTTTTTTCAAATAACCAGGGGGTGTGGAAATTGTAGCGGGCTCAAATCCGAGCCTGGTCAGTGGTGAGAATTACGGACCAGTTGTCATGGAAATGCCGTAAGCAAAGGCCAAAATCCGCCATGTTT